CCCTTCCGGAAGAACAGCTCTTGCGCAAGAGGGGATTTTTGCAGAAAAAGAGCCATCTACACGGCTCCTTTTTGTACAAAAGCCACTGCTAGTTATGCAAATGAAGCATGGTGATATTCTACTCTGCTTCATTTGCATAAGCTTTTGCAGAAGGTGGCTGCAGTATAGGTGTATGCTGTGTGTTACACTAGGCCTATGTCTACACTGGCAGCCTCTTGTGCAAAAACTCTTCCACAAGAGAGCATCTTGTTTTTGCACAAGAGCATCCATGGCAGTGTAGACACACTGTTGTGCAAGAAAGCTCTAATAGCCACTTTAACCATAGGGGCTTCTTGTGTAAGAAATTCATGTTGCCTGTCTACACTGGCCTCTTCTGGAAGAGCTCTTGTGCAAGAGGGCTTATTCCTCATAGGGACAGGAATAATGCTTCCGGAAGAAGCCCTGTTTTACAACGCTATACTGTAAATTTACTTCTGGAAGAACGCTCATGCAGCGTAGACAGCCAGCAAGCTTTTGCAGAAGAATGGCTGTTCTTGTGCAAGAAGCAGCCAGTGTAGACCTAGCTTAACTCAGTGTTTAGCCCACTCAAATGATTTAAGGTAATTCCCTTCCCATTTATTTCATTTCTATTTTAAAACTTTTCCTTCACAATAGGTGTTACCTCAAGCTCTTTGCTCCTAAACCCATCATTGCTACTTTGCGAATGCAAAGAAATGCTATTTACTTAGCCATTGTGCATAGAAGCTTTAGTCCATTTTGCCCTGAGATAGCTCAGCACCTTGTAGTTTCTTATTTCCCACTAAAGGTCAGATCAGAAGGTGCTCAGCACCATTGCATTAGTAGGTTATGTATCAACCTGAAGCAGGAATCACCTCTGTTAGTCTGTTCAAACGATAAGCATGAATAATATCCATTTAACCCTGTGCCATGAAAACTTTACAGTAATACTGAGCCAGCAAGCCTTTTAAAGCATTAGGCTGCTTTGTGTCATCTAGTTTTACCAACAGAATTGCTTCTTTCAGCCTTCCTAACAGTTAAAAATTTAGAATGTATTGTACTAGCTAGCCTGTGTTAATGTTCAAAGAGGCAATGTGAATATACAAAAAAAATCTGTCATTGAGTTCTTTATCATCTGCTTTGGTAGGTGCTGCTAAGTTAGTGATGAGGTACACTGGTGAATAGGGTATAGACACTGAGCAGGTGTCAAGGGGCAGTTCCACCACAATCAGAGAATTGATTTATACCAGCTGAAGATCCTGCCCCTGATATTTATTGCATATGGTAAAAAAAAATCTGTAGCCCCCTAATATTTCATGTTTGTTACTATGCAGCACATCACTATGAGAGAGCTAGAACAGCAACCTTTCTACTTCAAGTCACAGGGCTTTACCACTTGAGCTAAATGAGACTACTTCAACTAACAGTATGGATGCTATGACACAGATGTGCAGTTTAATTCTAGCCAGTTAAGTGCAGTAGGGCACATGTCATGAACTGGTCAGTGCATGACAATAGTTCAAATGGGGTTGGAGATGTAGTTCTAATAAGTCTTGTAGTCTTTACAGGATGACTAGATGATTTTTAGTTCCCATGTAATGGAAAAAAATGCAGAATTTCCCCCCCCCCCCCTTCAGTGCCCCACCTATGTTCTGTTTGATATATTTAACTATCTGGGCTCCCTCATGGGGTCAGAGGGTCCCAGAGGAATATACGGAGACATTTGCTGTGCAAAGCCATCATGGTTTAGTTTACTGACTGATCTAGGGTTAAAGTTTTCCAAAGCACCTGTGTCTCATTTTCTAGAGAGTTAAGCACATAGAAGCCAGAGTCCCATTGACTTGAGTGCATGAAAGAGGCAGATGCTATGGTCTAGTGGATAGAACACTGGTTTGTACCTGGTGGACCTGCATTCTATTCCTGACTGTCACTGGATGGCTTTGGTCAAATCACCTCATTGCTCTGTGCCTCAGTTTCCCCCTCTGGAGAACAACTTTTCAAACGCTAAGGCTGTCTACAAGGGTGGCTTCTTGCGCAAGAACACGTCCACACTGCCATGTGCGAGATGTACTTTTGCACAAGAGCATCCATGGCAGTATGGATGCTCTTGCGCAAGAAAGCTCTGATGCGCTAGAAAGCCCTATGGCTAAAATGGCCAAGAAACCCCTGTCGCGCATCCACACTACCCTCTTGCGCAAGACAGTGTACACCTGTTAGAAAAGAGTGTAGCTCTTGCGCAAGAAGTCCTCTCCTACCATGCTTTACTGTAAACCTTCTTGCACAAGAGTGGGCGGGTGGTGTGGACGCTCTGCGGAAGAATGGCTGTTCTTGTGCAAGAACCCGCCAGTGTAGACAAAGCCTAAGACTTACCAATGGTAAGTGCTACACCAGAGCACAGCAATCGTGCAATGGAAAATGGTTTAGATGTGTAACAGTGCTGAGAACCTGTGAGTTCCCTGAAAAGGAAAAAGGACCTACAGGGTGAAAAGCAGCATCACTGAAACTCTGGGCAGAAGTGCTTCTTCTCCCCTCCCCCCATTAAGAGGGAAAAAAAAGGTCAATTTTTCAAAAGGGAAAAAGGGTCTTTAGCCTGGTTACCACAGAGAGGGACTCCAGCCATTCAAGTAGTACAGGCAGGGATAGTATTGGTAGCTGTTATACACCGAAATCACAGAGGCTCTGGAGGGGTTGTCCTCTCTCAGGACCGGGAGAGCAGAGTTCTTATCGAGTTCACTGAGCTCCGAGGAGAGTTGCTTCCTTTTGGTTTTGTACCTTCGGTTCTGGAACCAGATTTTCACCTGGGTTTCCGTGAGCTTCAGGTTCTTTGCCAGGTGAGCGCGCTCTGGGGCGGACAGATATTTCTGACGACTGAACTTCCTTTCTAACTCGATGACCTGGGTGTGGGAGAAGGCTGCCCGCGACCGCTTTTGCTGCTTTGGGGCTCTCTGGTGACTTGGTGAGGCTCTCAGAGGGTTTTCACAGTCCGACAGACAGGTCTCTGTAGGTGCCTCTGAGGGAAGGAAGAGGGGAGTTATACATGAGGAAAGGAACCAGTATAGCTGGTTCACAGGCTCTTTCCTGAGAGCACATTTCATCCTGGCAACATTTTTACAGCTGTTAAACATTGGAAAAGCTTTTGCTTACAATTCCCCCTCCCCCGAATTGATGCACTAGAACCTCTTTAAAGTCAGCAGCCCTGGGATACAGGGTAGGGATGTAAAAATCCCATTGTATTAGTTAGCTGGCTACACTATGTTTGACTGGTTAATTGATTAAACAAGGCTGGGTGGAGGGCGCAGCTTGGGCACACTGCAGACAAGGGCTGCTTCAGCCAGGTTCGAGCACCCCCTCCTCAGAATCTGTGGCAGGCTCTGCAGGGCTGGAGCAGCCCCCTATCAGTGGTTGACCAGCAGGGGCTGGAGCAACCCCACACTTACCATTCACATCCCTAAAATGGGGGGGGAGGGGAAAAGAATGTCAAAAGGATTTTCTGGGCTATGGCGTGTGCTGTGGGAGTCTGGTCATGAGGGGAATGGAGGTGGGGCACTTGGCACCCCACTCCCAGAGGCATACATGGCTCCTTGCTCCCCATGGCTCCCAGGCACCACCCTCCTCTCCCCTGTCACTCCCCCCATGGGAGTGGGGTGGGTTCCTGGATGAGTATGGTGGTGTGCTACATGGTTGCTGAAAAGGACTTGTTTGCCTACAGACAAGTCCTTTCCAGCAACCACGTAGCACACCTCCATCATACTCATCCAGGAACCCAGCCCTGCAATGAACCCCCAGTGCCAACTCTGTCCACACATCTACACAAGCAGTATCATAGAACCAAGCCACATCAGCGGCTTATGTAACTGCACATCCACTAGTATGATCTATGCCAGCAGCGCCCCTCTATGTACCTTGGCCAAACTGGCCAGTCTTTACAAGAGACTTCATGGACACATCAGATATTCGAAAGGGCAACACAGAAACCTGTTGGAACTTTTTAACTTTCCCAGGCACTCATTAATGGATCTCAGTCACCGTATTGTTTCAGGCCAATTTCACAAGCCAACTCCACAGGGAAGTCTTAGACCTTAACTTCATTTACAAGTTTGGATTCCTAACAGAGGTATGAACAAAGACATTGGCTGGATGGTCTGCTACATTCTACATCCTAATGAAATCATAAGAACCAAACAATAGGTTAACAATTAATACTGTCTCTATCCGCTTCATGTAGCATGGACACTTCCCCTTTTCTTTTCCTTCTCTCCTCCCCTCCCCCTTATTTATTTAGGAACTGGACCTTTAAGAACTGCATTCATCTGAAGTGGGTTGTGCCCACAAGCTCATGATACCATCTTCGTGTTTAGTCTCCAAGGTGCAGCAAGCCTGTTTATTGTTTCCAGTTACAAACTAACTTGGCTACCCCCTGAAGCTTTTTCTTCTGTGATTGTGCCATTATGGGGTCTTGAGTGGAGCTCCTAGGCATATTGTTAATACAAATACAAGGCTGCCAACTCTTGGGATATTTTTTGAGTCTTGCAATAGTTGGGATTTCTCAAAGCCCTCACGCACCTTTGATTATCTCAGCTTTTGTTTTACGAGCATCAGTTTCTACCCTCAGAGAAGAGTTAGAAATGTGAAGTTGGTGCACACCCCAAAGGCTCAGATGGCAGTGCTACAGCAAATTAAAAAACAAAACCAAAAGAGATCCTGCCCTTCTATTGGCAGAGGGCATTTTTAAGGCCTGTCTCCTTAGTTCTGCATGCAGTCCTACTAATGTGTAGCCAGTAGCCAACATTTTCAAAGATGGATACCCAGGTGTAAATTGGGCTCCCATAAGAGTGGGAATGATTATCAGAGATGCTAGGTGCCTGCTACTATCATGGAAATCAGGCCATCACATAGAAGAACCCTTATTCAGAAAGATCAGTATAAAATTAAGTGCCCAGTTTTCTTCCCCTAGACATTCCACTGACTTCCATAAAGGTATTGCTAGTTTCCACTGCTTTAATTGACAGACCAAATGAAGACACCCAGGTTTGAGAGTCAGGGTTCTTGGCTCAGTTCTGCCCCTATCCCAGTGAGTGGCAAAGCTCCCAGTGGATGTCCATGGGGACACAGGATCTGGATCCGTACACAGGTGACCCATTCAGTTGGGAGTCCAAACTCTTGAGAAATCCAGGGTAACAAGAGAAGTGCATCTCCTGGAAGCTGCTCTGTGTGGTGCTATGGCCAAGCAAGTTGAGAGATAAAGAGGTTCCCTGGCTGCCCCGTGAAAGATACACTAATACAGGCTGGCTTTGATGTGACCAAGCAGAGCGAAGCAATTAGGCATTGTTGATGGCCATCACAGCTCAGAGGTACCAACCAGACACTTCGCCTTAATCGGATTCTACTGGAAACAATTCGGTCAGGTCAGCCCCAATCCAGCTGGGCACCCTCAGCTCTAATCGAAGGCTGTGGAAGAGCTCTGCCCTTTTCAGGATCAAGCCCTTCTTGTCATAATTAAAACTGTCTGAAAGAGTCCTTAAAGAGACATGGTACTGACTAACCCCTACAATTACTAAAACAGAAAGAGCCTTAAAAATCAAATGAATTTTCATTATTTATGCTGTTTGTTACTTTGGGTTCTCATTTCTCTCAGCTTGGACAATGGAAATAGGCCAGTTTCCCCCACTGAAATATTTGGGGTGGAAACAGGCCACTCCTCATCTGGGACATCAGTTTAGTGCTACTGAAATCAGTGAAGCTGTGCAAATTTACCCCCACAGAGGAGCTGGTTCAAAAGGGATTTTAAAAAGTAAATTTGCAAGGTAATTTTTTAAAAAAAGTTCTTTGAAACATTTCTCAATCTTTAGTTTTGTAATGTCTGACTAGAACCTAAACTTTAGACCGAATGTCACCTTTTTAAGGAGAAAGCAATTAAAATGTCTTGCCTTCTTAGTGTCTGAATATCCAAGTTAGGACTGGGGCTGGATTGTGCTAGATGCTGTAAAGGCATAATAGATCAGTACCTTCCCTAACAGGCTTACATGTGTTTGATTTTTTTGATATACAGGGAGGGAGAACCCACTTCATCAGCTGTGCTGGCTATGGGCATTTCTTTGTGGTTGATGGCTTTCCACTTAATAGGGCTGAATGCAGTGCCTTGCATGTTAGGTCTCAGAGGGGGAGCCGTGTTAGTCTGTAACTTTAAAAACAAGGAGTAATCCTGTGGCACTGTAGAGACAAACAAAAAATATATGGCATTATGAGCTTGCATGGGTAAAACCCACTTCATCAGATGGGCTGGTTTTACTCACACAAGCTCATGATGCTACAAGGTGCCACAGGACTACTTGTTTTTAAAGTTACAGACTAACACGGCTCGCCCTCTGAAACAATGGGGAGAGACTTCCATGTTCCCTAGAGAGTGCAGTGGTAAGTTTCTTAAACCATTCTTTAAATATATGGACTTTGTACCAGATTGTCTCAACCCCTCCCTCAGCTGTGCATGCTAGTAAAACTCACTGTTTAAGTGTCCCCATTCTTTAAAGGGGATGCCATGCTACCTTTAAGTTTTACTAGCCCAACCTGGAAGTACACATCCCAGAAACCCACCATCTTAAAAAAAGCCACCTATTAGTCAGCAGGTGCAACAATATCACCTCATGCCCGTTAAAGTGAATCAACACCCTCTTCTGTTATTAATTGTGGCGTCCCAATTAAGATCTCCCTTGTCCTAGGTGATGGACACAGAACCAAAAGCCAATCCCTGTCCCAGCGTTTACGCCTGTTAGACTTAGTCACCAAGGCTGAAGGCAGCTGATTTTACCAGTGGGGTGCTAAGGGAGGGAGCTCTTGTTTCAGGCCGCTGGATTAGAGCTTGGGAGGGGGGGCCCCTCTTCTCCCCCCTCCCCCTTTCATGAACTAATGCACTATCCTAGCTTTTTTTTTTAAAAAAAACCAAGTTCGCAAGGGCCCAACGCTCCCAGCTGGCTAGGAGCAGAGCTATTGCAGGGAGGGGGATTTCTAGGCAGTGGCTAGTACAGACACCCCTCTTATGCGCCACTGCTTTGGAGGGGGGTCCCCCGCCCCCTAGAGCCCCAGGAATTGGGCTCCGCGCGCCATGGGAGCGTGGGAAAGTCCTGCGCGCGCGGCGGGGG